TGGAAAACACAGAGGAAATGGACAGATTTCTAGACACATATCAATTACCAAAGCTGAATGAAGAAGTTATAAAATTTCTGAATAACTCAATATCAGCCAGTGAAATTGAGAATGTAATTAAAAACTTGCCAATGAAGAAAAGTCCAGGTCCTGATTGATTCACAGCTGAATTTTACAAGCAATTTAGGGAAAATTTAGCACCAATTCTTCTCAAACTCTTTAATGAAATTGAAAGGGAAGGAATTCTCCCCAACTCAGTCCTGGAGGCAAGTATTATCCTGATACCAAAACCAGAGAAAGATCCAACCAAAAAAGCGAACTACAGGCCAATCTCCCTAATGATTATAGATGTCAAAATTCTCAATAAAATACTAGCAAACAAAATACAACAAGTCATCAAGAAGATTATACACCACGACCAGGTGGGACTCATACCAAGAATGCAGGGATGGTTCAATATGCGCAAATCAATTAATGTAATGCACCATATCAATAGAGCTAACGACAAAAATCACATGATCATCTCCATCGATGCAGAAAAAGCCTTCAGTAAAGTCCAACACTCATTCATGATGAAAATTGTACAGAAAATAGGAATAGAGGGACTTTACCTCAAGCTGATTAAAGCCATCTATGATAAACCAACAGCCAACATCATACTAAATGGTCAAAAATTGAAAGCTTTCTTGTTAAAGTCAGGAACAAGACAAGGATGTCCACTGTCACCACTCTTATGCAATATAGTTCTGGAAATATTGGCTAGAGCAATTAAACAAGAGAGAGAAATAAAAGGAATAAGGATAGGAAAGGAGAAAGTGAAATTTTCATTATTCACAGATGACATGATACTCTACATAGAAGACCCCAAAAGCTCCACCGAAAGGCTCATGGATTTAATAACCAAATTCAGTAGCATAGCTGGATACAAAGTTAACACTCAAAAATCAATAGCATACCTGTACTCAAGAAACAAACAGACTGAGGGAGAAATTGGGGAATCCACACCTTTCACAATAGCATCTAAAAAGATGAAATACTTAGGAATCAGTCTAACAAAAGGTGTAAAAGATCTATACAGTGAAAATTATAGTACTCTGAAAAAAGAGATCAAAGAGGATATTGGAAAATGGAAAGATATTCTTTGCTCATGGATAGGAAGAACCAACATTGTGAAAATGTCATACTCCCAAAATTGTTGTACAGATTCAATGCAATCCCAATTAAAATACCATTAGTATATCTCACAGATCTAGAGAAAACATTCCTAAAGTTCATCTGGAACGAGAAGAGGCCTGGAATAGCAAAGGCAATCTTGGGAAAAAAAGGAAAGGCAGGAGGCATCACAATTCCTGACTTAAAATTATATTACAAAGCTACTGTGATAAAATCAGCATGGTACTGGCACAAAAACAGGCCTGAAGATCAATGGACCACATTAGAAGATACAGATACAATTACAAACATACTTAGTCACCTTATCTTCGACAACGGGGCCAAACATGTTCAATGGAAGGAAGATAGCCTCTTTAATAAATGGTGCTGGAAAATCTGGCTTTCCACATGCTGAAGACTAAAAGTAGACCCATGTCTTTCACCATGCACTAAATTAAAGTCAAAATGGATCAAAGATCTAAATATTAAAAGAGAAACACTAAATTTATTGGAAGAGAAAATAAGTAAAAATCTGGACAACATTGGGGCAGGCAGAGAGTTCATGAACAAAAACTAAAGTGCACATGAAATATTTCAAAGAATCAACAATTGGGATCTCATCTTATCGAAGTTTTTGCACATCTAAATAAATTACCAATAAAGTAAAAAGAAAACCCAAGAATTGGGAAAAAATTTTAACCAACTGCCGCTCAGACAAAGGACTTCTATCTAGGACATATAAAGAATTAAAAAAAAAAAAAATCAGGCACCCAAAGTTCAAAGACCCAATCCAAAAATGGGCATCTGAGATGAATACACACTTCTCCAATGAAGAGATACTAATGGCGAATAAATACATGAAAAAATGTTCAGTGTCTCTGGTCACTGGAAAAATGCAAATTAAAACAACACTGAGATTCCATCTCACCCCAGAAAGAATGGCTATCATCAAGAAATCAACCACTAACAAATGCTGGAGAGGCTGTGGGGAGAAAGGAACCCGACTCCACTGCTGGTGGGAGTGTAGAATGGTGAAAACACTGTGGAAATCAATTTGGAGATTCCTCACACGACTAGAATTGGAAGTCCCATTTAACCCAGCTAGTCCCCTTCTAGGTATTTTCCCAGAAGAATTAAAGACATCATACCACAGTGATATATGTGCACCCATGTTTGTAGCAGCACAGTTTGTGATAGCAAACTCTTGGAAACCACCCAGATGCCCATCCACTGAGGAATGGATAAAAAAGATGTGGTATTTTTATATAATGAAGCATTACACAGCTATTGAAAAAGAAAATCTCGAGGCTTTTGTAGGTAAATGGATACAACTAGAGACCATACTCATAAGTGAAATAAATCAGACCCAGATATGTAAACATCATATTGTCTCCTTGGTGTAGGAACATGAAAGACTAGGTAGAACTCAAAACATACACTAGATGATAAGAAAGGGGGAGAAATTTCTCAAAGGAAGGAATGACTAGGATGAGGGAAAGAAGAAAAAAAAGAGAAGGAATGCTAAATATAAATATATATATGAATAGCTGTGATAACTGTATTGCTGATGTCTGATGGTGTGTTGAAATGAACAGTTAATGTTTACAATTTTTTATGTTCTGATTGATTTTGCATGCTTGTGTCTGGTGGTCTGAACAACTGATTTGAAGGTAATAATATGCAATGGAATTACAATGGTGAACTCCTACCATATTGTCTAGTGAAACTCTGTATTATCTCTACTGTTTTATCAAAGAATTATTTTCTTATTCTCTATAATGGTTTGAGCAATCTTTCATTCTTACATCTGGTAACCTGAGCAACATAGTTGAGGAAAGTGATATGTAATGTAACAACCACTGTTGATTCGTATTATTTTGTCTTGAGACTCTGTATCCTTTTGAATGTTCTTGCTTTGATTTGTTTATGTTTGTGATACTGGTATGCTGCTACCATTCTATTTCTTTGTTTGGTTCTCATTTACTACTCTCTTTAAAATAAAAATAAAAATCATGTTAGCGAGGAAAGCTAAAATGTACATTTTCTTTCAGTGATGTGATCTAAGATTGTTTGCAAAAGATGTGCTTGTCTGTATTTTTGCTGTGCTACTGAGAATCAGGACAATAACTTATTATCTTCCAAATAATACATTGTTTGGTTTTGTTTCGTTTTGTTGTCTTTTGAGACTGGGTCTCACTATGCTGGCCTTGAGCTCACTTTGTAGCCCAGGTTGGCCTTGAACTGACAACGATCCTCCTGCTTCAACCTCCCAAGTGCTGGGAGTACAGGCATATGCCACCACCCATGGCTTAATAATGCATTATTAAGTGGAATTACTTGACAAGTATTTTGTCAATGTGTGTGAACTTGATATCATGTTTAATTTTGAAGTTTTTTTTGGGGGGAGGGTAAGCTTCTTTTGAGAGGGTAGGTAAGAAACATCCAAGAAAAATGTTCTCAAACCAGTTGAGCATGCTTATCCACTGCATAAGCCACATCATGAATATTTTAATGTTCCTCTGTACTAAACAGTCATCACACATAGAATTAGAGGGATACATATATAAAAGAAAGGTGGAAGATTATCCTGAAAAACAATAATAGAACATTTTTGAGCCAGAATTTTTATGATAATTTATTTCCTGTTCACATTTCTCTTTGCTGTTTTCCTTTTATTCTATATTTGATCTTGGTATAGCTTATTCCTGTTTACCCCCAATTTAGTTTCTTCTTAGCAAAAATGACATTGGAAATGTTTTGAATAAAACTGCATCCTAACAAACATGCATGTTATAAGTATCAAACCATCTGTGATTAATCTTATAAAAGTAAAACCTGACAACTGTAAATGTTTATCAAAGGAAAAAATGGCTGAAGTGCTTGGTCAAAATAATCAATACCATACTATTTAGTGTGGTTTAGTCTTCAGTTATTGAAAGAAAAAACTCTTTTTTGTGTGATTATCTTTCCATCCCAATGTTTTAATGTATCACAAAAAGTATATGTGAAAATAATGTAAGGTAAAATTAATCTGTATTATTATATAATATGTGAGGTTAAAACATTCAGTTAAATTTTATGATGCCATACTTGCTGGATAACATTTGTGTGATGTAATATCAAATAACTCTTTTAAGAACTTTCAAATAGGGCTGGCAATGAAGTTCAGTGGTAGAGTTCTTAACTAGTATGCCTGAGGCCCTGGGTTTCAATCAACCAATCAAAAAATTACCAGAAAATTATGTCTAGAAATCTCTTCTCCAATATCTATTGTGCTATATCAACCTTTTTAAATTATTGACACTGACTTTTAACTCAAAAACAATGTCATTTCAATACTTTTTTAAAGGGGGAAGGCTTATTTAGCTCACAGTTTGTAGCTTCAAGGCAGGGTGGCATGGAAGATAGGTATCACAGGGGAGAAAGAGTTCATGGTGGGCAGAAGGTGGTAAAGCAAACAAGAGGCCTTAGCAGCTTTTTCCTGCCCATTTTATATTCTATTTAGGCTACTGGGATTAGGGTAGTGCCAAATCAATCAGTGGACTGGTTTAGTAATCACACACCCTTAATCCTAGCACCCTTAATCCTAGCATTACACAATGAATCAACCAGACGCTAGATTCAACCACCTCTTCTCCCCCCCCCAAAGCTTCATGCAGTCATACATGGGGCTTTTTCAGAGGTGTCTGAATCAGTTTCAATATGTAAATGTTTATATTTTACTAGTTCATGACTTTCTAATATATTCACTCTTCATTTAAGTACTAAATGCCTTAACCATGGTTTTTGTATTTCTGAATACTAAAATTTTTGTATTGATCACTGATGTATGTGCTTTTAATAAAACGTAACATATGTTATCATGAAAAGGAAAGAAATATATAATTTATTCTTTTTATCTAGAGGGTTAAACCCTGAGTTAAGTGAGTTGTCAGTAAACAATAACTTCAGAGGTTACTCAGGCTGGTTCTACTGAAAGAAGACTTATGAAAATGAGTTTTGAATCAGTGCAGCATTAGATCACTATGCAAATCAGTTAGTTCTATTTTCACCATCCTTGTTGTGATTCATTACGTTTAAAGTAGTGGGAAGCACTGGTCTTTCACTTACATATTTTTACTCCACCCTTCCTTCTACCCTATGATATGTTAGTCATACAGTTTTGGTGCTACATAAATACACATTTTCTCATGTCTATTTACTTTGGATGCCGTGAACCAAGCTGTAATAAAATGTTGATTCTTTTGCTACCTGTTACAGCTGCTTACTTTAAAATAGTACCTTCTAAATAGTTTTTCTTACATGTCTAAAATAAAAGTATAACATACAGATGAAAGAAGAAAAAGGAAAAGTGTTAGGGATGGAGGGCTCCTGAGGTGAGAAACCATCACGCAAAACTTCTCTAAGTGGACTTTCCCAGTACAAGCGTGATGCCTATGACAAGAAGTGAAGTGCCTGCACTGTGATGCCCCATATCTCTGTTACTGGACATAAAACAGCGCTTTGGTTCTATCGTGCTGGTTGGGAGTTTAGACAGCCCACCAAGAGATTGTTGAAGCAGCCTGAACTCTGCCCAGTTCCATCCCCAAGACACATCCCTTCTCGTTACGAATCTGGATACCACTATGACTCAAAGCATATTGAAAAAAAACCCAAGTTGAATGATTTCTTAGATCATATCCTTTTTTTCTACCTGGAATCGAATTCACAACCTCACGAGTGACAGGCGGGCGCTGTGCCACTAAGCTATCTCCCCGGCTGAATGATTGCTTAGAATCCATTCTTTTTAAGATTTTCTGTCTTACAGAAAAAACCCTGGTTGATTTTTAAAGTGCCATGGATAATTAACCTCCTACATTTTCTCTTTTCCAAGAGAAATAAAATATCAAATCTGATAAAAGTGTATGAAATAATGACCTTCGCAAAACCAATCAGGGAATTTTGAGACATCCGTCATCAGTATTAGTTTATTGATATTTTCCCACTTTCTCCTTGATGTTTAAAGAGGGTTGGAAATAGTAGCTTAACAGAACATTTAGTTGCATGCTGTATACTCAGAAATTAACTTGCATTCTGTTAAATTTCAGATACAAGGCATGGAAGATTACACAAAAGTAGTGGTAACTCGAACTTCAACTGATGCAAAAAAGAGAAGGAATTCAGGAAGGTTATCTATATTCGGAATTCCTTCAGTATCAGAATCATTAGGTGAGTTAGAGTTCTTTGGGTAATTTTGAGAATTTACTTACCCTTTATAAAATAGTCATATATATACTTGGAAGCTGTATACATTTGAACCTGGAATATTGAAGAATCCTCTTAAATGACATGTTTGGTATCAAATATATGAAGTCAGATTAAAGTCAGAGTTATACTTAGAAATTTTTGTGTTTCACGTATATAAAAACAAACACATACTTACCAAAATAATGTGAAAACAGATTTAGGGTGACTAGCTATCTAAATTGAAATAGTTTCTATAGCATTAATAATAATAAAGTCAAATTTTATGAATAACACACATATAAGTAAGTAGAGCTAAAGGAATAAGCTTAATATAAAGTTATTGTTCATAAAATTCCACATGATAAAAATTACATCCTAATGTAATGATTATTTTAAAACTACTAATCTATTAAAATTTTAATAATAATTTTGAGGTAGACTTAAAATTGCACAATAAACAATTAAATTATGGAATAAATAATAATGTTAAAATTTAATACTTATCATTTCTCTAAATAAGAAATAATGTTCTAAAATTTAGAAACATAAACTAACCTTAAAATTTTGAGTGTCAGTTGCAACGTCACTAATCAAGAAATAAGCGAAAGATACTTCATGGAAGAAAACTTACAGCAAAATACAGTCTTTCTGGGACTTGGAATCAAGACATTTGGAAAACAACAACTTGGTGAAGGAAAAAGAAGAAAAGCAGATCTACTGGAATCAAGATGGAGCTGAGAGGGAAACAGGAAACCACAGAGAAGCTGGAAAATGAAGCACAATGCAGAGGAAAGGATGAAAATGTCTGGGAAGTTAATCTGGTCCCCCAAGGAAGAGGACTTGTTAGCTGAGAGAAGACTTCTGCTAGTACCAACAGAAGCCCACAGTTTCCAAACAGTGCAAAACAGTGCGATTTTACACTGAAAGTGACTCTCCACATTTGGAGAAGAAATTCAAGGCAGCACCTTCATATTTGAGAGGGTTTAATCAGAAGCCATTTTGGGAAGGAGCTAATTGCATAAGAATGAGCTACAAAGAAAGTCATCCATGACAGTGTTTCATGGCTTATGTCTAGACGTCCTCCCAACACCTCATTTACTCATAGGTGGGACTTTCGGCAGTAACTGGAGCATGGGTATGTACATTGAGTAGTCCACTGATTAGTTTAACATAGTTCTGGGTATGGATGATGGACTTACTGAGCAGAGAAGACCCACCCTGTGTGTGGGTGATACCGACCAAGAGACTGGGTGGAATAGAAAAGGAAAGAAAAAGGAATTCTCATTGTTTCCTGCCTGCCCTACCATGCACTGTTTTTCCTAAGCCATGTCCCTTTGCTATACCCCCCTGCCTTGGCGCCAGACAACTATGGATTGAAACTTCTGTAAACTGTGAGCTAAGATAAACCTTTCCTCCTTTAACTTGTGAGGGTCAGTATTGTGTCACAGCAACAAGAAAATAACTAAGACACTGGATACATGCATACCCATGTTTACAGCATGGCAGTTTACAACAGCTAGATCTTAGAAATGGCCTATGTGCCATTAACGGATAAGAGGATAAAGAACACATGGTATTTAGTCACAACAGATTACTATTATGCCATAAGAAGGATAAACTTGAGGCACTTAAGGTAAATGGATGTACCTTGAGACCCTGATCATAAGGCAAATAGGTCAGATACACAAGCATAAGTGTCACATGGTTTGTCTTATTAAGAAACTCAAACTATAAATAAAAAGGAAAATACGGGCCAGGGATATAGCTCAGCAGCACAGCACCTGCCTGGCAAGCACAAGTCCTGAGTTCAATTCCCAGCACACACAAAAAAAGAGTAAAATAAAAGATAGACAATAAGAAGTAGGGAGATCTTTCTCAAATGGAAAGGCTAATGAGACATAGAGGGAGAAACGATGAGAGGTGTAGTGTACAAAAAAAAAAAAGAATTAAGATGTGTTATGTACACGTATCATCTCCCCAGAATGAATATAATCATGTGCTGTAAACATGTACTAATTTAAAGAAAAGACTGAGGTACAGAACAACTTTACTTCAGGGGTTCTAGGGTCATCGCAGTGACTGGATGCAGGACAGCTCCAAGAGACAGCCACAGAGAGGGCACTGGTGAGACATGCATCCCCTGAGAAGTTTAAACCCAGGCAAGAAAGAAGCGCAGGGTCCCACCCTGAGTAGAAAAGCGAGGCTGGTCATGACTGGCTTTTGGAGAGGGCTGGTTCTGAAAGTGCTGGCATGAAGTCCAGCAGACTGCTTGACCACTGCTTGACCACTGTCCACCCCCACCCTGCCGCCGACATCCAGCAGAGCCCTCAGTGGTCTGTTTACTTTCCCCATCTACCAAAGTGATTAGGGATCACCGCAGCGTGCAAGGCTGCTGCAGCCTGGGTGGCATATATGTGCAGAGTGGCGTCCGGAGTGGGAGGCGGTTGAGCTGAGCAGAGGAATCCAGAGAAAAAACCTCATGGCATCTACATCAGCCTACCTGTGTCTGGAATAACAAGATGGAGTAAAATTTAAAAAGAAAAGATGAAAAAGACAGTTATGATAAAGCAGTAGTGGACTTCTAGAGCCCACTGAGTAGGTCATGTTTCTGTTTCACCCCGGCCAGCAACCAAATTTCCAGGGGGTGATAGGAGGAGGAGCTAGGGAAGCTAATGTCTTTCCTGTACCTAGCTCAAAGAGCTCCGCTTGTCCATTGATTTACAAAGGAAATGATGGTACTAGGGTTGTTAACAAAAAGAAGAGCAATGTGAAAGTGAAAGTTTATGAAGTGAGAGAGCTCAGGGGTCATGTAAAGAAAATCCTCAAATTGCGTTGTGTGACCGATGCTTGGATGTGAGCCGTGTTTGTGGGCCAACTCCTTCCCCTTGCCCCGTAACTTCCGCACCATGTCCACCCCAGGATTGCAGCTCTCCCTTTACAGAATGAGAAGCCCCCTCCAAGGCTTGTCACAGCCTCCAAAGCTCCTTACAGAGTGTGCTGGTCTCCAGGTTGAAGCACATAGTGCTGTCCCTGCCTGACATCCCAGGCTTCCTCCTCTGCTCCGAGACTGGATTCTACACCAGCCTCACTTACAAACCAGACCCTTATTAACAGCTTAGAAGTTGGCCCTGTCTCCTATCTCAGTGTCTGGATTAATAGTCTGAAGAAGTACTCTGTGAGAATAATGGCATCTAAGGGGTCTTCTAGAAAAAAAAAAAAAAAAAAAAAAAAAAGAAAGCTAAGTAAAATTCCAGTACGATGCCTCAGTTTCCTTACCATGACCAGGAACGTACCTATTCCTGGAGATAGAGACTGAAGCCTGAATTCCTGCTGCGCTCTGTGTGATGGTGTGACTTACAGCACTCTCTGCTAGCCAGCTGATTGTCCTAATGATGGTGTTTCTAAATTCCAATTTGAAGCATTCACTTAAGATTCCTTTATTTAGATTTCTCAAACCTTTAGATTCCCAGTTTGCTCTCAGTTCTACTTCATCTCACGTGCTACGTTCGGTGCTTCCAATCCAGTAGGTAATTTTTCAGGTACTTTTGAAAGATATTAAAAGGTAATAAAGGGGCTGGGGATTTAGCTCAGCGGCAAAGCGCCTGCCTGGCAAGCGCAAGGTCGTGAGTTCAGTTCCTGGTACCAGAGAAAAACCAAAATAAAATAAAAGGTAATAAAACACGGTCAGTTCTCAAGGGTTTATGTTCTAGCTAAGAGGCAAAACATAGCAGATGGCACATAAATAACAATACAAGAAACACTGTGGATAGTGCCGGCTGACCCTGGAAGAATTCAAAGGAGAAACAGTACAGAAAATGACCAACGTCTTTGTGGAGAAAGGAAGAGAATGCTCGAAACAGAGGATGCAGGAGAGGAAGACGGGAGAGTGACAGAGCTGAACAGTGGCCGAGATTTGGCAGCTAACTATGCCCGAAGTGTGTCTGTGAGACAGTATTTGCGGGAGTGCAGGCTTTTTGTGGCTATGTCACACGAATCGTTATCTCTAATTCAAAAAATAAAAACCATCAGATAAATAGGTTTGTCTCCACTTAAATAAACGTCACCTCTGCGTGTCACTTGCTAGGACAAAAGCTATATTTTAAAAGAGGCTTGGAGGCTAACAACACACTACAAAAAAGTATTTGCAAGAATTATTTGCTCACAATGCCGTTAATATCCATTGACCTTGAAAAAAAGTGTGCAACATATTGAAGAATGCGCTGTAGCTCCAGTAGATGAGCTTGTGAACAACCAATCTAGTTCGTAGTACCTAGAAGACAGGAAAATAGTAAACTAAGAAATGCTAAATAAATAACAGCAATGTATTAATATTTGCTTTTTAAATAAAATTTCTATACCTGGTGAAATCTAGACCCTATGAAAGAGGTAAAAATTGAATGATACTGGTTTTCTTATACCTTTATTAAGTTTATTGGTACAGTTTAGATATATATAATGATAACATCCATCATAGGAAACTTGGTATACCTTAATTCCTCTTTTTTTTCTCCCATTCCCCTTCTTTCCCTTCAACCCCTCTTCCCTTCTTTATTTACAAAGCTTTGTTTCCATTTTATCCTTTTTTCTCATTTTTTTCCTCCCTCCCCACCCTGTTCCCCTTTCCTTCTGAACAATTTCTTCCTCTATTTTACTATTATACGCTTTGGTTCTTATTTACACTTTCAGTTCCTCACACCAGAGAAACAATGCAATATTTATACATGTGTCTGACTTATTTCATTTAAGAGTATGTTCACAAGGTGCATCCTTTTAACTATAAACATCTCAGGTTTATCCTTCTTTACGGCTGAGCAGTACTCCATTGTATTAAAAAAAAATGTCTTTTTTATCCATTCATCAGTTGATAGGTATTTGGGTTGTTTCTAAGATTTAGCTGTTACAAACTGTGCTTCTGTGAACATGGGTGCTCATATATTATGCCAAGAAGGGGAATAGTCAAATAGGATCTCTAGTTTCATTTTTTTGAGGAATCTCCACACTGATTTCCACATTAGTTGCACCACTCTACACTCCCACAACAGAGGAGAATGGGTTGTTTTGGCACATGCCTGTAATCCCAGCACTCAGGAGCTGAGGCAGGAGAACGGTTATGAGATTGAGGCCAAACTGGGCTACATAAGTGAGTTCAAGGCCATCCTGCACTACATAGTGAGACCCTGTATGGGAAAAAAAAAATAAAGAACAGTGGAGAAAGATTCCTTTTTCCCCACAGCCTTGCCAGCATTTGTTATTGTTGATTTCTTGATCACAGCCACTGTTTCTGGAGTGAGATGGAATCTCATTGTTGCTTTAATTTTCATCTCTCAAATGATCATTGATGTTGAGCATTTTTTCATATATTTATTTGCCATTTCTACTTCTGTCTATTCATTTCAGATGGTCATTTTTGTATTGTGTCTTTAAATTTGGAGAGTCTGATTTTTTCAATTCTTTATATATTCTAGATATTAGTCCTTTGTCTGAAGAACAACCAGCTAAGATTTTTTTCCCACTTTGTGTATTGTCTTTTCACTTTGTTGATTTCTTTTGCTGTACAAAAGCTTTTTAATGAGATCCCAGTTGTTGTTTGTACCATGCCCTATCCCATCAGAATTTTGTTCATGAAGTCTTTGCCTACACCTATGTCTTCAAGAGTTCTACCATTCTCTCTTCCAGCAGATTTAGTGTTTCTGTTTTAGTATTTAGATCTTGGATCCATTTCGATTAGTTTAGTTTATGGAGATAGATAGATAGATAGATAGATAGATAGATAGATAGATAGATAGATAGACAGATAGACAAACATGGTTCTAGTTTTAGTCTTCATCATTTGGAAAGCTAGTTTTTCTAGCACCATTTATTAAAGAGGCTATCTTTCTTCCAGTAAAGGTGTTTGATCCCATTGTCAAAGATAAGGTCACTGAGTGTGTTTGAAGTTGTTTTGGCATCTTCTAATCTGTTCCATTAATCCTCAGGTCTGTTGTTTTTCGTGGTTTTTTGTTTTTTGTTTTTTTTTTTGCCAGTACTGTGTTATTTTTATCACAGTAGCTCTGTAGTATAATACACAGCAGATTTTTCTGCACAAACCCTTAGGTCAAGTAGAGCTTAAAGTGAAGTATTTCAAATCCTGATAGAAAATAACCTCCAACCCAGATTGATGTATCCTGCACAGTTATCTTTCAGAATTAATAAATAAAACACTTCCATGACAAAGAACAACTTCAGAAATTCATGACAATGAAACCAGCCCTACAAAGGGTTTTGAAAAATAATAAAGACCACAGTTTCAAGAGTACCAGTAAAAGAAATCACCAGGCACAGCAAGCAATTAAACAGAAGGGAAAGACAGGACACCATCATCAGGAAAATAATATGACAAGGACAAGCCAGTACATCTCAGTTATAACCATCAGTGTAAATGGCCTCAATTCACCAATCAAAAGAAGTAGACTGGAAGAATGGATCAAGAAACAAGATCCAAAACTATGCAGCATTCAAGAAACACATTTAACTCAAAAGGAAATTCATAGACTGAAAGTTAAAGGATGGAAAACAATACTCCATGTGGCAGGAGCCTAGAAAAAAGCAGGGGTAGCTATTCTATTTGCAGGCAATGTGAACTTCAGGCCAAGACTGATCTTGTATTGTGCAGGTAGATGAGTGAAAATGATTCGTAACAAAAGTCACAGAAAAACTCACACACTTTTCTTCAGCTATTCTGCTTTTGGGAATCAACCCCAAAAATATAAGTATTACAGCACACTAGATGTCCAGAGCACTATTATTTTTAATGACAAAAATAAAAGAAATTTAAAAGTATCCCAATAATTAGAGTGTATATAATTGCATACAAAATACCCATGCAAAAAAATTACGCTTCCAATATAAAACATAAGGCAGAAAATGAAACATCAAACACACAATAGACAACATATTTTAGCATAAAAAATAGCTCAACAAGATAAATCCAAATGGTTATCATGGAAATAAAGGAGAGCAGAGGTAGTTTTCTTTACTTCTCTTTATTTCAGGTAGTTCTATGGTTTTTATAATGAAAAGGGATTATAACTATTAAGATTATTGAAACAAATCACTTGCGAGTTACTGTCTATTCCTTTATACCACATTCAGCAGTACTGTGAAAGGAAGTAGGACTAGCCAGACCTGAAAGCAGTGAGTGGGAATCACCACAGTGTTCCCCATGGTGGGAAATCTTCCATTTGATAATCCAAAACCTTGTCCACTTTAGCATGCCCCAGTGGCTTCTGGGACTTTGACTCCCCACTTAAATCATGCTACCACTGCTTTTTCAATGATAAATCACTCCCACACACTGAATGTCCTGCCTGGGCCTCAACAGTAATGACCAGGAGATGCTTCATGTGGGAGCGGAACTGACCCTCTAGTACATCTTACTTTGGGTTGCAGATCATCGATGAAAGATTCCAAAGCTCTCTGTGTTTTTGTGTTTTTCTTCCCACTTGTGCTTTAGTTGACAAGGTGAGTCTGGTGAGCAAACAGCGCAGTGAATCTTCTGTGACTGGAGGCCTCCGGTGACTAAAACACTCTTCCTTACATCAAGAGGGAGCAACTTCAAGTTGAATCCTGTGCAGTGCTCTTGAAGAAAAGAAGTTTCAACTTTCTGACTAACCTATTCAAAATATGCATATATTTGCAAAATTTCTTTGACTTAAAATACCTATCAGTTCAATATTAAAACATCTCAGAAAATGGAGTAAGCTTTGGACCCAGAAAATAAGCTTATGTCACCGAGATAATTTTTATGTTGCTCTTAGAACAATAATAGCTTGATTTTATTAATAAAATATTATTAAAATATTATTTCGATGTTGGTCTTGATCCAATTATTCATTTTTTCTGTCATCCATAATTCTTTGATCATTTGGCAGCTTTCAGAGAGTTAAAATAATAAAGAGTGGAAACCCAGTCAGACTGAGCGTTGTATTTTAGTCTTAAAGGAAAATTTCCAGAACCCATTGTGTTCACTGTGGTATTCACAACACTGAGCAAAATGTCTGGTGTGTTGTTTAAAAATGATCTTTATGGTTAAGAGTGAATGCATGTTTTCTGCATGTTTGGTATGCTCTCTATTATGTACAGTATGCCACGTGGTTATGAGCTCATGTCATCTTTGTAACAATCATATACGGTAGCTACTCTGTCTTAGCTTTTTGTTGTGACAAAATACCTGACAAAAAAACCTAAAGGAGTAAAGGTTGGCCCATAGTTTCACCCCATGGTTGCCTGGCTTTATTGCTTTTGGACTGTGGCAAAGCAGAATACCATGGGAGACGTGCCTGACATCCAGGAAGCAGAGAAAGAACCAGAGAAAAAGGGGTTGGAGACCAGACTCTGAAAGTCATGCCCCCAGCCCCACTCCCTTCAACTGGGTCCCATTTCCTGCTTCCGTCTCCTTCTAGTAGTGCCGTCAAATTATGATCTTCTCATTGGATTAGCCCACCAATGAAGTGAAAGCTCTCATGATCAAACCACATTCCAAATGCCCCACTTTTGAATACATGAAATTTCTGGGGGGCATTTTAGATCTAAACCATAACACTTTATTTCCACTTTACAAATATATAAAATAGTGAGTTTGAGAAATTAACAGGAAATCTTATAGCTAGCAGGAGGCAGATTAGAGATTCATAAATAAGTTATTATATGCAGAGCCCCACATTATGGTGAGCCCTAAGTACAGTATCTGAAGAATTAATACAATTTAAGAATATATCTTCAGGATCAGTCTTCTTTCAAGAGCTAGGAAACCTGAATGCCATGCCAAACAGCTAATGGTGGGTGTATTTTTAGGAGCCATGGATAGAGATTCCAGCCACAAGGCTGTCCTTGTGGAAAAGATAACTTGGTCTGTTCTTTTTGGGAAAGTCAAATCAAATTACTACCACATTTCCTCTTAACTAATCTCAACCAGTCTTTTTTCTGTGATGAATCCATGGCAGCTATTGTGATGTTTGAGGGATCCCACCAATATGTAGCTCTCTCCTCCTGAGTTCTGGCCAGCAGAACGTTAAGACAAAGGATTCAGGTAGTTGAAATACACACACGTGTGCACACACACACATACCCCTCACTATAACTGATTGAGCTGACACATAAGAACATAACTGCTTTCTTTTCCTCGGAATCTGAAAGACTGGTGACTACAGACATTTTCCACTAACAGTAATGGGTAGCTGAGAAAAGTGAAAGATACAAAATTTCTAACAGTAAATTCCCTCCCAAAAAAGTATTAGGAAAAAGGAACTACACGGGAGAGCTCGGGTTCTGCTTCCAACTTCGTCCACCAGATTAGCCACTGTACGGAAATAGAACGAATGAGAAAGCGAGACAGACTAGGATGGTAAAGGCAGTAAATGGTTTAGACTCAACCCAGGACAAACACCAAGGGGAAAATACTGTAATTCTCTTCACCAAAAGCAGCTGTCACAGAGAGCCTGGTACACTAGCTCACACAGTAATCCCCTCAATCTGAGGAGGCGAGTCCTACAGTTAGCCTCATTTTAAAGAGGGTGTAGTGACTGTCCCTCTCAATAAACCATAGACATCAGCGATACAACTATTCCAGCAATATATATGTACATATATATACAAATCTTGCTTTTATTTTTAAAAAAACCAGCATAACAAAGACAAATACATAAACAAAACAGCATAGAGAGCAATAAAAATGATACGGAATTTCAAAACATAGTGATAGGATATTAACAATGGTTATTATACTGCACAATGTCCTCTTCAAAATGAGCTGGAATAGGTGTATTGCTGATGTCTGTCGTTGATTGAGAGGAACAGTCAATGCTTAAATTTTTTTTTTGACCAGTTTTGCACGCTTGAACTTGGTAAATAGAATGACTGATCTGAAAATAATATGCAGTGTAAGAACCATTGTTGAACGCCTACCATTTTGTATGATGAAGCTCTGCATCATTTCCCATGTTTTTTAATTATTTTTTTTTAATTGTTACTGTCTTTGCTTGTTTGATCAATCTTGCATTCTTATGTCTAATGGACTGAGCAACTTCATTGAAGATAACAGTATGTAATGTAGCAGTCACTGTAAATTTCTATCATTTTATTTTGAGGTCATGTATCATTTTTGTTGTTTTTGTGTTGTTTTGATTTTGTCGTCATTGTTGTCTTGTCAGTTTTTTAATTTTTAAAATAAAAAAAGAGGGTGTAATGCAGCTTGGAAAATTGAGCTACATTGCTCAAAGTTACACAACTAGATGTGATGCAGAGAATCAAATTCTCCAAACATACTCAGTATAATTTACAATACTCGTTAGGTTGTCTAGATTTTGTTTTGGCAATCTAGGCCGTGGTAGCAGAAAAGCAAACATACCACAGTATTAGTCATTGTCAGTGCCTATGTAGGTCTGTGGGCTTGATTTTAAATGTGTCCCTACACAAGATACTTAAATATGAAATAATCTTGGTACTGGTACTGAATATAGTGGGTACACAAACACAGAAAAACACAGCGAGACAGAGAGAGAGAGAGAGAGATGGGTGTGTAGAGCTCCATTTTTTACCTTAAAGAATGTAATATATGGTGTTTGGCCTGAGGAGGGAGTATAGAGCTCACTTCCTTTTGACTCAGAAGTAAGCCACTTAGCGTATTTCTTACAAGGCCCAGAACATTATTTGCTTTATTTATTTATTTTTTCTTTATAAAAGACTCCTTGTCTGGGGACATAGCTCAGTGGCACAGTGCCTGCCTGGCAAGTGCAAGGTCCTGAGTTTGATTCCCTATACCAAAATAAAAGACTCCTTATTCCTTTGGCCTTGAAAAATTTTTTTTTTATTTAGCTAAATTCTTTATCTTTTATAGTGACTACACCTGTTTTGGTTTTATTTTTCTATAGATGTTTAACAATCATCTTATTTAGAAACCGGTAACTTGCAAAAGAAGCAACACACTTCCCAAGTGACATTCTTTCAAAGAGTAGCGCTGTGCCACTCTCCTGCTATTTATGTCTGTAAAAAAAAAACTCTTGGTAAAATAAACAAGTTTTTGGTGTGTTCCCAACACTAGCCTTAACACTACAAACAAGCTTCTGAGTTACTAACCTTGGCAAGTTGCTGGAGCTAAGTGCTAAAACACTTCCCCAGAGTGTGGTAGCCCAGTCTGAAAATTCACCCAGAAAGACACTGGACCTCCGTTGCTATCTCCTTTTTAAAACCTGCTTTTTAATGAGAACTATTGAAAATTAATAGTATGGTTCTCTAACACATAACTCTCAGATGCTATCCTGGACTTCTAATCAGTTCATTTTTCTGCACCAAGAAGCAAGTAAGTAGAAAGTTATACTTGTATTATCCTACCATGTGGTCCTCATCTTCTTGTGGAGGGAAGCCTAATGGAAAAGTTATAACTAAGTTATTAGACTCCTTGCTCTTCTCAAGAAGTCTTTTTTTTTAAAAAAAAAAAGTTCTTTTCTCATCATAAAATACTCCAAAATGATTTTCCTTTTGCATTAATAGTTCTCCCAGATCCCTTCTCTCATTTCACAAAAATCCAAAATGACCAAGATAAATGCTAGAATGATCACAACCCAGGCCCTTGAAATTGAAGAGTAATTCTTTCTAGAATTACTCTTATCCTAAAAGTATTTCTGTCTTGGCAGGTGAGAGTCTGAAAACCGCAGAAGAATGGAAGGCAATAGCACACTTCAAACACGCAAACACACCGCACTTGACTGACCTTGGGTCCCAAGCCAACTTGATCTTTCAACAAGTGCTTAGTAAACAGGACAATGAATAGACAAAGTTCCTGTCCTATTTGAACTTATATCTTAGCTCTGTACTTAGTATTGGGATGTCCTTGTGCAAATCTATGACTTCTAAGGATCGTGTACTCTCATCTATGAAACAAAGGAAATGGCATTTATCCTTCAGAATAATATGAAAAAATTAGAAAATATATCCATATCAATACACAGAATACCTGGATAATTAGAAAGCTCTTAGCAAATGGTTATTATTATTATGTTATCCTATGACTTTAAAGGTATAGTAAAACATTGGTCATTACATTGGTCATTAATTTTCTACAGTAATGCCAAAAAGTAGGAAAATAAATTTAATATCTCAATCCCAGCTTCCTTTAATTTTTCCACCATCTGCTTACAGATGTCCAGGTTTTTATTTCTCAATTCACTTATTTTTTCATCTGTATTAGACACTGGAGTAAACACTAACGAGAACAGACGACCTGCGACTTAAAGGTTTGTTATTGGAGCTCCTGTGTGTGGGCACGTGTTGCTGGGCTTTCATTTGTACAGTGTATTTATTTAGCTCAAAGTTAGCGTCACAGTAATAAATGACTGTCATAACTACCCTGCTCTTTCTACTACCTAGCAAAGCCAAGAAATTTGATGAGCCCGAGCTAACATTTCCACAGCTCAACTTCTCCATCTAGTGGTTGGAGTAAAACTGAAGTTCGCGTTAGGAAACGATACCTAACCTTACCTTCAGTCACAGTGGGTTGGTTGCCTTCCAACTCTCACTCTTACTGTGTTGACTCTGGGTGCAAAGAAGCCTGTGGACAATAGTGGAACTGGTTTAACCACTCCAGAGGCAGCGCTCAAGCTGTCTGCTCAAGCCGACCCACCCAAGGATCTGAAGTATCTTCATTCCCACATATCCCAAGTGAGAACTCAGTCACTGAGCTACTCACTGGTTGAACGCTCTTGTCTCTCTCATCTCACCTCAACAGGGCGAGAAGTTTGGAGCCCCTGCTGCTGGTCTCTACGTGATACAGTGGGTACTGAGACTTCTCTACCTCTCTCTTTCTCTTTCTTTCTCTTTCTCTCCTTACACACACATACTCACACACACACACACACACACACACACACACACACAAAGGCAATCGTTTTCTTCACACACAAAATGGCAGACAATTGGTTGTTATCCCAAATTTTCTATACAAAGAAGACACTCATTAATATTTATTGTACTTACCCCACCTAGGAAAGGAAATGGTTTTAGAAGAGACTAATAGCAGAAATAGAATAGGGTACACTTAGATTCCTTATGTCTCTATGCAGTAGACACCTCTAGTATTTAATGTTTTGTTAACAATTTTCTCTCTTCACTGTCTGCTCTAATCTGCTGAGAAGAGGGTTTTTCTACATTTCAGATATTTATAATTTAGAAAATCTGCCACCCAGACAGCTTGCCTGATGACCTAAGGGATTAATGAAAATTTAATGAAGCAAGTAGTACAGACAGGCAAGTTAGGTAGGAAATAGCAGCCAGCTAGAGAGGTACTAGGCCCGAGATAGAGTCAGGACAACCAGGTCTGGGCCAGGTAAGCAGGAGCCTGAGGTCAACAGTTAACCAAAGCTAGGTGGACAGTTAAGTAACAGGAAGATGACTAGCAAGGTGATAGACGGCCACTGTGACAACTGCTGCTGCCATCTAGAAAATATATTTTTCATTTCCCTTTGTTTTTTTAATAAGCCACTTAGATAGATAGAGGCTACCTGCAGACATACACTTGCTGCATTCTCGGCTCCTCACAGGCCCGTCTCTAGTTTAAGTAAGCTTGTTGTAATCCTGTAGGTTGACTGGGAGAGGTCTGAGCCCTGGTCATTCTTTAGTCTAAAAGTTCCTAGACAAAGAATCCCCTTGACAATCCATTTGGGGATACCCTTCCAACTACTGGGAACTATTTATCTCCTTTTGTTTTGAGACAAAGTCTTACTGTACAGTGCGGGCTGGCCTTGAGCTCACTATGGAGCCCAGGCTGGTGTTGAACTCACAGCGATCCTCTTGCCTCAGCCTCCCTGGGTGCTGGGATTACAGGTGTGCACCAGCACGCCCAGGCATTCTCACTTATTTTTATAGAAGCTAGATTTGCAATTTGGATCCAGGTGCCAACTGAAGCACCTGTTCTCCCAGGGACACTTCTTTGCTGATTATATTTCCAGGAAAATAGCGCTAGAGGAAACATTACTAGGCTGCATGTTTTACCTTTAAAACATTTTACATGCATTTTTAAAAAAGGGAGAGAAAAAAGCAAGTTTCCTAAAGTAAATGCGCTAAGAAAAAAAGGAGAGATATTTTCTTTTCAACAAAGAATTTTTGATTTGTATTTGCTCTTACTAGACTTAAAACATTACAAATAGAAACAATTTCACTTTGTGCATCAAAAGTCCATCTGAATTGGCTTTGCCTTGCTTTTGCTCACAGGCCGGCCTCATTGCAGAATATTTTTTTCTCCTAGGCCGGGATTGCTCACCTCTCCATCTGTTTTTAAAAGCGCTTCTGGAAATCACTTGCAGGACCAGACTGAAGTCTGGAGAACAGCCACAGGGACTGGACGTGTGAGACAGGTCTAGCATTGCACTCCTAGTATACTCATTTCTTTCTATCTTGCTTCTGGCTGTTTTAGGCATAACTCTTATTCCAAGTCAACCAGCACTGTGTTTTATTTCATTTTAAGGAGTTCTATGGGGCCGGGATATAGCTCAGCAGCACAGCACCTGCCTGGCAAACAGGAGGTCCTGAGTTCAAATTCTGCTACCAAAAAAAAAAAAAAGAGGAAGAAATGAAGCTAAGGATCTCTATAAGGATCTCTCCTGCATCTGTTTGGTTTACCACTAAACTCACAGTACAGAGTACATACACAATGACGAAAATCCAAGATTCCTGACCCTAAACCAATTTCCTTCTTCCTTTACAGTGCACAGTTGCAAAGATTATGAGGAATACATGGAAGCTTGTGACCAGCACTATGATTAAGATAAACAACAAAATTTCCTTCCTTCTCTTTGAAAGTCAATCCCTCCCATGCCCTTTGCTCTTACACTGATGTGTTTTCCGTTCCAGTGGTTTTGCTACCACAAAAAGTCAGTTTTAATTCTAATTCTCTCACTTAGCATAATGCATTCAAGATTCATCCAAGGCGTTGCATATATTAGTAGTCCATCTTTTTTATTGCTGAGCAATATTCTGTTGTATGGATACAGCACAATTTGTTCAGCCAGCTGAAGACCAGTTTTGGGGGCAGATATAAAATATTTTATACAGGTTCTTAGAGGGCATAAGTTTCACTTGGATAAACCACTAAAAGTGGGATTGCTAGATTGTATAGGGTTTCTATCTTTAACTTGGTGTGAAACTGACCTATTGGTGTCCTAAAGACTGTATCATTTTACATTGGCAATAGCAGTGCATGGGGTTTCCAGTTATAACCCATTCCTTGCCAGCACTTGGTATTATCAGTTTTATTTTGGTTTTCAACAGTAAACATTCTAATAAATGTGTAAAGGAGGATTGCAGTGTGGGTTTGACCTACATTCCCTGATGACTATGGCGTAGAGCATCTTTCCATACACTTAGCATCCCTGCAGTGTCTTTGGTGAAAAGTCCATTTGAATATTGTGCCTAATTTATCATTATGTGTATAGTTTCTCATGGGTGAGTTCTGAGAGTCCTTTGTAGAAAGCACTTTTTAGTAGCCTGGGGATTAACTCTTTGCTTTCATCTTTTTGCTTTTAAATAAAGTTCCCCTTTGTGGCTTTTCTAAGACAAAATAATTCAATAAATGTAAGTATCTTAAGAGAAAAAACCCCACAGCCAGCCCAGCTACAATTGCAGACTTCAGTTTCCCTCAAAGGCTTACAGAACTCATTGACCAGCAGCTTCTGCTTGTGGCTAATGGTCTGAGCCTGAAGGCTGTGACATTTAAGGACCTTCTGCACACGTGCGCCTTTAACTCCTCCCAGCCTCTCCCTCCCCTCTGCTCGCACCTCCCCCTTTCTGTTCTCTGTGCAAGTGGCCAGAGCCAGCAGCCCCTCAGCTCAGGAGCTGTCCCGTCAGAGTGCAAGGCCTGCGAGGGGGAAGCAGTAAAGGGACCAGGGCTGAGAGAAGGTGCCCACAGGAGTTCAGCATGGGGAACTTCCTCCAGAGGGAAAACAGGTGAGTTCACACTGCCTGCCAGAGAGCAGAGGAGAGGGAATAGGGCAATGAGAGAGAAAAAGAAGGCTGCTCCTGAGAGTCAAGGGAACTGCCTAAGAATTCAGTGCTTGCTACCTGCCAGACACCTTTTTAAACTTATAAATTTTCCCTTCCTGCCCAGAATCACAGCAAGCACCTTGATGGACCTTCATCAAGCGAGGAGCCTATAATAGGCGACCACCCAAGAAACAGAACAACTTTCTGAGGGCCTGGCAAGGGAAGATTCTGCCAAGCCCTTAAGGCTCCAGAAAGATCTCAAAGACACCCAGCCCTTTAGTGTCTATTTTAAGTTGAAAATGAAAAGCAAGTTTCCTGCCGCCACGGGGCTTTGCTTGGTGTCACTCCTCAGCACCTACGGGCGGTGAGCAGAGTTCATCTGTGCTGGTAGAGAACTTATCTTAGCTTTTCTAGAGTTCAGTCTCTTCATTTTAAATGGAATAATACCGTGCCTACTTGGGAGTGTTCAAGCATGTATGGCGCTAGCACAATGCCTACTACACAGGAGGGTTCAGTAACTAGAGAGTCTTGTTTTCTATGTTTTAGAACCATGAGACTCATTAACATCAAAGCCACTATTGTGAAGATTAGTACTACCAAAATAAAGGAATCCTTAAGGTATAAAGGGAGGTGGTCCAGGTTGAGAGAGCTGGCCTGGGAATCTTTACAAGATTATGTTTGGTGTTCCAGGTCGCAGATCACGGTACTGGAAAATGGAACAGAAAAAGAAGGTGACCCAAAATATCACTTTCAGAAAAGGCCCTTCCCGAGAGTCATTGTCTGAGACTTCTCCCTAGATCCTTGTGGAAGTTTGTCAATCTTTTTTCTACCTTAGAATTCTTCTGCAAGATTACAAATCATTATTTTTAAGTCATGATGTAAGAACTCCAAATGTACGGATTATCTTTTTTTCTTTTTGCCTTTTTTTTTTTTTTGGCCTTTTTGTGACAGGGTCTCACTATGCAGTTTAGGCTGGCCTTAATCTCATTTTGTAGCCCAGGCTGGCTTTGAAACTCTCAGTGATCCTCCTGCCTCAGCCTCCCAAGTGCTGAGATTATGGGCATGCACCACCACACCCAGCTGATTTCTTATTGTTTTTCATTCTTTTTTGAATTCCTGGCTATGGGGATTATTTCTGTGATATAGCAGGCACTTAATAAATATTAGATGAATGGTTGGGAATATAAGGAAATAACTGTTCTCAGGAGAGAGAGAAAAAAATGTAGATATGATGTGAATGAGAAAGTATTGATTGACACCACATACAGAATTTTGCTTTTCAGAACTTTCTTGTGGAGGTGAAGTATTATGAAACTAATGTGTTTTCATTGTAAATGTAATTGGAAGGTACAAAACCTGAAAATGAGATAAAATGGTAATCACAGTGCACTTCTGATCTTAGATTCATTATCTATAGTCAGCTATTTGTACTTTTTCATCTGTGAAGAGTCAGTAATGCCTCTTCTCCATTTTTGTTTTGGATTTTGGTTCATTTTGTCTATTGGTACTTTGAAGAAATTAGTCTCTTCTCATAAAAATTGCAAAAAAATTATTTTTTTAGTTTGTATGTTTTATGCCATCTGAACTTTTATGATTTTACATTTCTTACATTTTAAAGATAATTGAACCAAATCTAGAAGGCATTTAAGTTTCTGTGTTATATTTATGCTTAAAATCCTTGCCCGTTCTCCAGATACGACAAATTTACACTAATATATTTTGTGAGATTTTATTCTTATACATTTAGCCCTATACATTCAATATTTGGCCTGGCGTGGTGGCGCACACTTGTAATCCCAGCACTCAGGAGGCTGATGCAGGAGGATCGCTGAGAGTTCAAGACTACCTTGGGCTACAAAGTGAGCTCAAGGCCAGCCTGAGCTGCATAGCGAGACTCTGTCTCAAAAAAAATCAATATCTGGTGTCAGATTTTTTTTTCCAAATAGTTGATCAGTTGGACCAGCATCCTCTTGCTAATTTAGAGTATGTTGCTCAATCTATTCAAAAATCTTATATTGACTGGAACATGACTTTCCCCTTCATGCCTTTGACCCAGTTGTCAGTCAATCAGCATTGTCCCCACCGTGTCTCTCTAGGCAAAGTCTGTTAGGAAAGCCAGGAAAACTGCTCCCATAGGTGAGCACAGCACCTATTCCTTCAAGAGAAGAGGTCAGATTTCAGAGCAAGGAATCCACCCAAATAAAACCTACTCTCTCCCCTCACCGGTTGTGGATCTTCAGATAAGTTGCCTAATGCTTTGGATTCCGTTTCTTTGCTCATAAATACTAGGACGATAATATCAACCTTATAGATTTATTCTGAGATTAAAAGCAATGTAACCCATAAAATGACTAGCTCATAATAAGCAGTGTTTAATTGTTAGTTTCTTTTTTCTTCATACTCCTCAACCTTCAGCAAATGGAAAGATAATTATGCAGAAATCCACCTCAAGCAATAAGCTAACTTATTCTCTTTATGTAATTCTTTTGCTCTCACTTTGTGCCATGTTCTCAGCCTCTGTATGGTCTGTGAAAGATGGTGATTGTTTGTGCAGCTTTCCTTGTGTATCCTTCCCCATCGTGTGTGTACAACCCTTGGACTGTACCAAAATAGACAATGACAGCCGAGGAGACTGGGCCTCTCTTTTTGTGACACTGGCATCCTTAGGGCTGTGATGAGGATTCCTGGACACTTGGGAACAAGTGATTTAGTATCAGATGGGTATGCCTGTTTCCAGAGAAAATCAGTGGGCTGCTCCTCCAGCAATGTAAAGAGAAGGTCGGATCTAAAATAGACCGTGGTGTGCGTGCTAGGAGTGAGTATTAGCAAAAGTAAGAGCAACAAGGGAAAAGCTAAGGCCGCTTAAGATTCACACAGAAAGTAACAATGAGGAAAATTGGAAAAATATAAAAAGAAGTAGGGATCCCGGAGAGGAATCCCAAACCTCCTTCTCACATGTTGAACTTTAGGTGGCAGCAGGACACTCAACAGATACCTCGGAATCTGAGGCTCCAAAATGCCAAGCAAAGAAGAGCGAGGCACGCATGCTCAACCCCACCAAGGTTTTGAAAACATGGAACCAAAAAGCAGTCACTGAGCCAAAGACACGTTAGGGGGGCCAGGGATATAGCCCAGCAGCACAGTGCCTGCATGGCAAGTGTGAGGTCATGAGTTCGATTCCCAGTACCCCACCCTAAAAAAAAAACCCAAAGACCTGTTAGGGGCAAAAGATCCAGCAATCAGGCAGTAGGCTGCATTTCCTCAGTGTAAACTAAGAATCATATTTTGGGGTTTTATCATTGGCAGATGTTGAAAAGTATGGTCCAGATGATGAAATACATCGCAAGAACCAAGGGCATCACAACAAGGGAGAGACTTCTAGCCCCAGTAGCAAGGGAAGACTAAGATTGGCGTTGCTGGTATGTGAGCTGAGGTCAGCGACTTCTCTTGTCTGCCTCATGGAATTTTTCTGAGCTCATCCCAAGCCAAAACATTCGTATTAAAAGTTGAGAATAAATTGTGGAAAAGCTGAGTGAAGAAAATAGCTTAGAGAGAGCTCTTGGCCATATTTCACTTTAGCTGATCGTCACAAGTCTATGAAGTAAGCAGTATGTACATCCTCATTTTGTCAGTTCAGAAACCACCTCATGGAGTTTAGAGATATGAATCCAGTAACTCAGTATGTACCATTTCTTTTCCTCTCACTCTCATATCCCCTCATGGACCTGATTTCTTAGCATTGGTTTGATTCGGGAGTTGCCTTATGATGTCTGTCGCAGCAGCAGCAGGAGATGAAAGACAAGTGGCTTAAAGAACACTGCAGGCAGCCTGCGGAAGGGGAGGAGCTCTGACTATACCCTTGCGCCCCAAAGCCTCTGATGGGACAGAGACCCTGGAGGCACTCAGGGCACTCTGCCAAGCTGGTGGCTGCAGTCATGACCACAGTGCCATAAGCCTCTCCCCCACTACCTCTTTTGAGGGAATCCAGGGCAAAGCTCACTGGGAAGACATCATTTTTAGATGGCATTTTCCAGATTATTTTACATTGTAAGTGGTATATGCAGTACTTTATAAAGGGCTTTAACATTCATCCATCTAAGTAGTTGACTATGCCTCAGATTTAGAAACATTCCATGAATGATACTTAGACTTTAACCTACATGTCTGACTGCAGGGAGATCCTAAGCTCATCTATCACGAAATACAAAAAATCCCCATATATAGCTGTACCACTGGAGTCAAAGTGAGAGATCAGAGGGCCTCCTGTTCTTTTTTGGGGCTACTCATTCATAGCTTCATCATTCATTATCTTCCTTATTCATATTTCGGCAATTATTTATTGAAAACATGTTACGTATTATCATGTAGTATATACTGGTGATACGTACCATGATGAACGAGATAAATGTGTTGCCAACCTTGTGAAGTTCACGTTCTAGGATAGAGACAAGTGAGCAGACAACTATAACAGAAAGGAAAAAGATCCAGGTCAGATCTCAGTGACATCCGGCAAAAACACTGCCTATCCCATACCTGAACTAAACGATCTCTAAAATGTCAATATGCTTATGCCTTGATTTCCTGAGGATCCCTCTTGTGTGATCATCACAAAGGAGCCAAGTAAGTCATTAGAATTAGAGATGAGAAAACCTTTCCCCTTTGCTGAGAATATGGCAGAAAGATTTTTATTCCCCTCTGATGAGGAACTAACACATCCAAGTCACCTAAAATGAATGCTTGCTTGGGGAAACAAAAGATTTTCCCCAAGAGGTGGCAAAGGGGAGGGAGCCCCCTTAACAAAGCTTCAGAAGCCAGTCCTGTACTTTGCATTCTCTTTCTTGGGTATTTCAGATGCTGGGATCACCACATTGTTGAAAGATGTTTCTGCTTTCCCTGGTAAGTTGAAAGCTGCTCTTAGGAGTTATTTCCCCAAGTGTGGTTTCCATGTGGTATTTGCTGTAAGTTACCTGTGAATTCCCTGCCATCTGTGGCCACAGGGGAAGCCTGGCACGAAGCCCAGATAAAATCACCTGACAGCCACTCAGGGAAGCAATCCTTCAAGTTGGTAAGAAGCAGGAACAGTTGTCCCCTGGGCTGTACACTCTCCTCTAATGGGTAAGCTTCACGTAAAAATGAAACTGGGTAGTAATATGGAGAAAGAATTTTTCACACTGCAGATCCTGGGGTCATCATATACAGAAGAACACGTTTCTGTTCCTTGCACTGAGAACGTATAGTCAGGCTGGTAATATAATTTATTGCCCAAGCTAAGATAACTTTGAGAGTAAAAGGGACTCTAAGAGGAGCTAATGACTGCTAAGTGACTGATAATGATTCCAACCAGATGGAGCAAACCAGAACATACGGCAGTTCCCCTTATAGCAAATCTGTCCTGTCTCCTGAAATGATAAGGAATTTCCACCGTACTTACGTTCCATTTACCCAGGGGGTCTTCTGCGTTGTGTGTTCTCATGGAAGGTGTGCTTTTGTCTGAGAGAATATACATGAGGCTTGAAAATAATTCTGGCTCTTGCACTCTCATGGTATAAAAAGAACTGGTAGATTATCATAAAACATTCTCCAAAAGGTCACCTATAATAGCACCATGGTTCTCCTTCTATATCAATAGATTCTACATTAGAATTTAAAAAGGGAGGAGGTAGGAGGCTTCCCACTTGTCCTCGTCTTCATTTTTCTTCTCTGTTATCTTCTAAACGTTGTATGTTGAATGAGGTATTGGGAAAGACACACAAGTTTTAAAAATTAGAGATTTAAGATTGTTACATAGGTCAGTGTAATTTTCTTTGAGAGATTCTGAATATCGTAACAACCAAATTCACTTTTCTCTTTTTTTAAACAGGAAAAGAATACGTAGATTTAAGACAAGCCAAGATTCCCAAAAGGAAAGTAAGTCATTGCTGTTTCATCATAGTTCCAGTATAACACCTACACATGTGCCTACAATTTGCCCACCTGTAGGTCTGCTTTCCCCACTAGGTTGTGAGTTCACTGAAGCAGGGGCCTCGTTTTTGAAATCCATGTTCTTCACTTAGGGCCTGTGGTTTGCAGATGGAAGGAATTAAGCGAGAGGAATAAATAGAAAAGTTGTAATCAAAACGGACTCACAAGGAACATCAGGAAAGCCAGCCAGGACCAAAGAGGCTAGGGGAGGGGCAGTTATGGATTTAGATCTTTATCTTGAGACTGACCAAAGGTACTGAAAAGCTCTACAAAAAGACAGCTATGATCAGATTGGCAATTAAAAGGATCACCCCTTTGGCTGCTGGCAGACAAGGTGTATCAGGGCGTAGCCAGAGAAGGTACCAGAATACCACTTCAAGGAGGCTGGTGCTATGGTCTGTGGGGGCTCATGAGTGCTCCAGTTAAGGGAAGAGAAGAATCTAAGAAAATAAGGTAGTGAGAAGTGTCACATGTAAGAGAACAATAATAAGAAAGTTCAGCCCAAGGCAGGCCATTGTATTTCTGAAGAAGAAAACTGTTTTGATCTTGCCTTAAAGAAGAGGATGTAGCCAGTGGTGCTGTGCCTCAGTGGGCTGTTTGTATCATTAAAAGTGCTAAAAATTTTGCCATCACTGGTGTAATTGATTCACACACTGAGTTTTATGAGTCAGCTCTGTAAGACACACACACACACACACACACACATATATATATATATATCCCTTCTAGTCCTAAGCCAAGCAATGGTGGGTCCTAAGACTCTCTGATCAGAGAAAACATAATAGAAATAAGACGCATGATGCTAAAACTCTCACACCCTTTTCATGTAATTATAATGAGGGAAGTCTTAAGTGGAGATGCGAGAACTGGGAGACATGTAAATATATCATAACCACCTGGACATAGCTGCTTCCTCGGCAGCCTTCCGTGGAAGATACTTGTTTGCTGATGAAGCTGGCCCCTTTAGGAGTGGGTAGCAAGCATTCACTTGCCTCTTTGCTGAGTAGCCAGAACCAGTTTAAAGTAATTTGGCCTTGGGAAAATTGGCGGGCCGTGTTTGTATCTGCCAGCAGCTACAGGAATGGGGAGGGTCAGCTCAAGAACTTCCCTGTCTGTAAAACTGTCCTTGAGCGCTAGGGTCCAGTCTACCACCATCCTCTGTCAGCTGCGGTCAAAACAGCATCCTGCTCTCCGTAGTATGGTCTCTTACAGCCCCTCCCATCCCAGCCTGTAGAGGGCAGGACCAGTGCTTTGTACAGTAAGGAGAGAGAGATGGAGAGAGGGAATGAGTGTGCTTTCCTCTCGGATGCTTCACCAAATACGTCCCCTCCACTTGGCCCATCCCCCTGCGCAACCTCTGGCTGTTTCTTGTTTCGATACTCCTGCGTGCACCCACCCCACAGATGTTCCGCAGAGCAAAGCCTGGGAAGGGCTGCCACAGCTTTCTTGCTTCTCTGGTTGCTTAGAGTCCAGTCCTCACGCCCCTCAAAGCTCCGCATGACCTGAAATTCATTGAGTGTATTTCTTTCTGCAGATAAAGGAACCACATCTTCTCCCAACAAGGTAATAAGACCCCTTCTGACACCAGCATAGAAGAAAGACCTTAAATGCCAGGGTTGTGAAGGAGCTAGTATTTGTCAGCACTTTGTATGTGATATACAGTGTGCTGAGTGCTTTATAGGCATCTTCTTGTGTAACCATCGTAACAATCCCACAATACTGTACTACTAGCTCCCCCTTATGTACAGATAAGAAAACCAAGAGATTAAGGGATATTCCCCAAAGCTAGACAGCTATCAGATGGCAAAGATCCAAAACCAAGTCTTGCTCCAAAATCCATGCTTTTCCCCTTGGCTGTCTTTGCTTTTTATTCTCCTGAGATTCTATCATAAGTGAGACTTGAGTAATAGTCTCTGTAATGAGTGGTTAAATATTATAACCTACTCACATTAAGATGCCATTACATTGTTCTCTTTTATCAGAATGGGCTGCCCAAGAGCACTGAGACTTTGGGAATTATACAGGGTGGTCAGGGCTCACTCTGGAACATGGGCAGAAAGGACACACCTGAGTAGGTATATACTTTGGGCAATAGGAGTGCTTTGACCAGAAGTTCTGGTGGTTGGAGGGGGGCAGCAATTTAAAAACGATGGACAAGAGATGGAGAGGAAGTGGTCATGAAAGAGACAGACTTTTCCTAGCATCAGGCCTGTGTTGAGACGAAAGTGTAAAGACAGTGCACCGGCATCAGAAACAACGTTCTGATGTTCTCCTTTGATCAGCAGGACAATGGCAACAAGACCTATATGGACGAGGTGTGCTACATCCTTATCAATCACACAGCCCTCGGGAGGAACCCATCAGGGAATTCTGCTGAAGAGGCAGTCATCGGAGAACTCTATGAGAATGTCTCCTACAAGGCTAACAGGCCCAGAGAGTCTGTGGCACGCACCGAGACAGAGTATTCACTTCTCCGTGTGCCTTCCACCCCAAGGCATCCACCTTGCCCCGAACACGAATATGAACTTCTCATGCCTAGCAGAACCTCCCCTTCCTCCCTCCAACAGCCAAGGCCACGTGTGGCCCCATTTGAGACTCAGTTTTCCGTTTTACAGTGAAGTGACTCATCTGCCTTTGTTTAGCACCAGTAGAAAAAAGTAAGGGGTGGGGCTCTGGCTGAAGCAGACATGGGGCTCAGAGCTCCTCGCTTACTTCTCCTGGGTCTCAGTAGAGCATGGCACACTAACCACAGTGCCTTTCATATCCTGCTCGACATCTGCCATCCAGAATCAACCAACTAGTGCTGCATACCACTACCTGCAAAAAGAGCGACCATGTTTGGTTCAAAGTGGTGCTGGAAGGGCTCTGCGGCAGGGAGGGCTCCCTGGTCCTCTCAGCGCTGTGTACCACAGAAGAGTCTACTCTCCTGACTGGCTCTGGTTGTTGTTGTTTGGGGTTTTTTGTTTTGTTTTGTTTTGTTTTGTTTTTGTTCTGCAGTACTGAGAATTGAACCCAAGGCCTTCACACTCTATCCCCAACCCTTTTTCAATCTTTTATTTTGAGACAGGATCTTGCTAAATCACTAAATTGCCCAGGCTGGACTCAAACTTACAGTCCTCTTGCCTTAGCCTCCCGCCTGACTGGCTTCTTGTACAGCACCATGGTTGCCCTCTGAGGTGGCGAGGCAGCTGATTCATCATACGAAGTGGGAGAATTCACAGGTGACTTTCTGGCTCAGCCTCAATCCCCATGGCAGTGTGATATTCCCCTTACTCCCTGAGCCTAGCCAATGTCCTTTACATGATGTCTTTTGGTTCACTGGCCCCCATGGCTTGGTTAATTATGTGAGCTGAATCAGAGGCTTCCAGTACCAGTTTGTTTTATATATAATTTTAATACATACATGTTTGTTTGTTTGTTAACTTTGTATTTCTGCTCAAAATTTTTTGGCAGTGCTGGGAATCAAACTCAGGACCTCATGCATGATAGGCAAGGAGTCAATCACTGACCTGCTCTATAAATCTTAATAAGACAGTCATAGCATCAGAGGATGAGAAAGACCTTTGGCAGTTTTTGGCTCAGAGAGAATAATTTTCCCAATGATACCTTAAAGTTAGTGGCAGAATCTTACCTAGATCCTGCCTTACTGACTTCCAATTCAGTCTTCCTTGAATATTCTATAATGAAAAGCCTTTGGTGTAGTGTCAGTGACTGTGTTAAATAATATGGCACGAATAATATGATTAAAATGTCCACATGGAAGAACTCTCACACCCATCCATCCTTTCTCTAATAAGCACTCCTCTATGGGCCTTGAGTATTTTCCATCAGCTTTAATATTTCCAGAATTATGCTTATCCACTCAACTACGGGCCTGCAGACAATGGGCCACTGACCAAATCTGGCCCACGAGACTCAGTCACACCTGTTTATGTAAAAAAAATTTGATTGGAACCCTGCCACACTCAGGTATTTACATGTTCTCTATGGCTGCTCCACCGTGGTGGAGTTGAATAGATCCCGTAAAGCCAAAAATATTTATATTTTGACCCTTTCCAGAAAATAGTTTTGTAGCTCTAGGCTCTAAACCATCACACTTTGAGACAAACCTAACAGGAATATATTTAGTTATCAATATAGCTCATAAAAGCAGGTGCGGGTGACACAGTATGAAAATATTAAGCCACAAATGAGGAGAGATCAGGAACAATTAGCAAATTAGACTATTTCTACATTCGCACCTGTGTCCTGGCTGCTGTGTGTAACTCAAAACCACCGTCCTAATTTTAGGGATGTTAAAATAGCAAAAGGTCTGTTGAGTCAACCAGTAAAGCATTGCTATTTTGTGCTCAAAGCAGTGGCTGTTTAAAATGTGCTAAGTGCCTAAGGATGATCAATCCAGTGGCTTGAGGTCCAGTGAGACCACATAGGTTTTCTGAGACTTCTGATAACTTCTAATTTTTAGTACATTTCTTTCACATGGAAACCCGAGTTTGCTTTCTGGCTGAGATTTACTCAGGTACAGGAAGGGGTGTGGTGGCAGCAGTGTACAAGGCATGGCACTGTTCAGAGGGAGTAGTGTGGACTCGACACAGCTACGCTGTGATTTGAATCCTGGTCCTCTCTCAGCATCCTCTGTGACCTTGAGCCTGTGACTTGGAGGCTCTGTTTTTTCACCATAAATGACAGGGTTAATCTAATATATGCAAGTCATCTATCACAGACCCTAAATAGAGATAATATCAAAGTGTAAATGGCTTTTTCATGCTGTGTGGAAAAAAGGCCAATCATGCATCTCACCAGAATCCACCCAGGAATCCCTCAGCAAGGCAGAAACATCAAGCTGATGTTTGCGATGGAATTTCCCACATGGTTACAAAACTATTGTGGGAGGTGGTTGGCTGAAATGTTCTTAATATGAAAAGCTGTGTTTGCTTAAGCTTTATCTTGTGAAAGCATTACCTGCCCCAAACAACGTATGCCTTTTATCAGGAATGTATTCAGTGTCAATGCTTAGTCAAAGTTAGTTGTTCTTATAATGAGGTGATATAAGGAAAAAATATTTTTTTGAGTGGGTGAGCTCTTGGGAGTGCTTCAAAATACCCACTGTGATGTACATAACATTATTTGTCAATTTAAAATAGTACCAGCAATGGTATGAACTACCTCATTTAAATCATGAAATGAAACAGTAATGGGAGGGAAGGGAGGACTCTGAGCTACCTCACTATTTCCTCTACCTGAGGGGTTGTATCGCTAACCCCATGAAATCACACACAAATGTGTTTATCTGTGTGTGTGTGCACTTTCTGCCAATAAGGCTCACAGAAACTTTGAAACCTGTGTAAAATGAGATCAATATTACATATAGATACAGTATTTTCTGACGTTAAAAATTATTTCTAGAAGATTCTATGTTCTGTGTATTATATAAAATTCCACATATTCTATATTTTACACATTAAGTAGCTAAACTCATAGAATTGTTCTCATAATTTTTATTTTTAAATATTTTTAATATTTCCTGCTTGTTTATCTGTTGTTTGTGGCACTAGGGATTGAACACAAGGTTTCAAGCATGCTAGGCGAACGCTGTACCACTGGGCTACATCTCTACTCCTAGTTTTGTCATTCTTGTCCATGCGATCGCACTCTCATTAGAGCAGGAGTTCCTGGGAAGAGTTCACATAAGAGAGGAGAAGAAGAGACTACACTTCATTCTATGCGCAAAGGGAGGCAAATCTGCTGTTGGGATCCCACCAGTGAATCAAGCTCAGCTCGAGTCCTGCCTCCTATTGAAGGCCTTCTCAACTGAACTACACTGGCCACTCTTCTCCCTGGCTCCAGCCTCCAGTTTGTCTTAATTTTGACACTTAAATCTTGGTGTTAAATGGGGGTCGGATTTCTCTTGCTTTCTTTTGTACTGAAGATTGAACTCAGGGTGTTTACACTGAGCTGTAGTCCCAGCCCTTCTTTATTTTGAGACAGGATCTGTCTAAATCACTGAGTTGTTCAGACTGAGCTTGAAACTGTGATCCTCCTGCCTCAGCTTCCCAGAAAGCTGGGATTACAGGGGTGCAACACCATGCCCATATAACTGTGGGTATATTTTCCCTTGTTTCCTGTTTCATCTGTGCAGGTCCTGACTGCTAAATAATAATAATATCTTCCTTTCTTACTGTCTTCTTCTCCTCCGGCATCCTGTACCACCTTCCATAAGACACATCACTTAGAGGCTGGGGGTTGTAGCTCAGTGGTAAAGCTATGTTTCAGTATACTCAAGGCTCTGGATTCAATGTCCAGTATCATTAAAAAACCTTTTAAAGATCTGTACAACAAAATTAAATTGAAAAGAAAGCAGAGATTACTGGACGTGTGTGGCTAGAATTTCTGTGGATGGAGACAGGAACGTGCTTTTGCTAACCCATCTATACTGAAGTGACTTCCACAAAAAGTCTTTTCATCTCAAACCCTGCAATATTTTGTTGAAGCACTGCTGTGCACCAGGCATTATGCTGATCATTAAGATGTAGGATGAGCGCCTGCCTGGCAAGCGCTAGGTCATGAGTTCGATTCCTGGTACTGGAAAAAAAACAAAAAAGGAAAAAAAAAGATGTAGGGTGACCAATTATGGCAAAACAATGTATAGGATATGCAGTGTATTTTTTTTCAAACACTTCGAAATGCTTTAGGCATACAAATTAGTTCTTTCCATATCAACCAAACCAAAAGTCCTCTCTATGTCAAAACTCAAGCCAAAGCACTTGCAGTTTAGTGGCTCCCAAAGAGAAGAACAAAACGAGATTCTGTCGCCAGACACAGACAAGACCATCTTTCTCACCCTTGTAGGTACCTGGTCCTGCTAGAAAGGAGCTCAGAGGAAGAGGAGGAGGTGGATGGCTTCATCCTGCTCTCCCTGGAACAGAGAGGAGGTGTCTTAGTGACTTCTCTCCCTGAGACAAAATACCTGATGCTCAAAGTTAAAGATGGAAAAGTTTATTTGGCTTACAGTTCATAGAGGTTTCAGTCCACAGTTGGCTGGCTCCAAGGCAGGGTGGCACATGGGAGAGGGAGCGTCACAGAAGAGAAACAGTTCATTGTGGGTGAAAGACAGCAAAAATGTTGTCAAGGGACAATCATGGTTCTTTCTGTCCCTTATGTTTTGTCCAGGCTACTTAGGGTGGGAAGCACTCACACCCTTAATCCTAGTGTCCTTGAGCCTAGCATTGCATCATGAATCAATTCCAGCATCACACACTCTAGATCCAGCCACCTCTGAAAAAGCCCCACCTATGATTGCATGAGGCTTGGGAGGGGCATCTAGATACAAGCCATAACAATGCTCACCCTGAGCAAACCCAGCTCTATCTTATTGATACAGAAGAGGAAGCTACCCTCAAGGACATGAGAAGTTCACTTCTAATCTGAAAAAAATGCCAGCCCAAATATGGCCCTGGAGACTCAACACAAATACTCAGCACAACTCAAACACAGCAAAGGTGAATGCAAAAATACTTTATTGTAAATGTTTTAAATCAATCTCCCTTTCTAAAAAGTCCAGACATGCTAAGGTTCACTTTTGACATGTAACAAATACAAAGGAAGAGAAATTCACTAGTTTAAGGAACTGTCCTTACAATGAGACAAGGAGTTACAATACATATATCTTCCAGTTAAACAAGAAAGCAAATTCACATTATTCAGAACCTGGGTCATAAAGAGCTCAAGTCAAATCTATACCAATATACAGGTGCATTCATCTGCTTCTCACACTGACTTTCATGGCAAATTTTATTTTATGCAAGGGCTAGAGAATAGCCAGGTGTGGTGGCTCATGCCTGTAATCCCAGCACTTGGGAGGCTGAGGCAGGAGGATTGTTGTGAGTTCGAGGCCAGCCTGGGCTACAAAGTGAGCTCAAGGTCAACCTGAACTGCATAGCAAGACCCTGTCTCAAAAAGACAAAAAGAAAAAAAAACAAGGGCTAGAGAATCTCTCACTGTACAAGCATAAAATTCATCTAGAAAATTTACAGCAAGGAAATTTTAACAACAACATAAATACTGTTCCCTCATAACTGACAATGCTACATCTACCAGTGACTGATACAGTCAATAATATTCCTACCAACCCCAAAATAATCAGGCATAGGCTTCCAACAGCTGATTTCAGAAGGACTGTGGTTCTTCCTATTTCACAACCAACTGTAATAAGACACGTAATGAGCACTTGAGGACACCTAGTCCTCCAGGGAGGCCAGGAACACTGGCAATGCACAGCCATTGGGTGGTACCAGAAGCAGAAGCTGAGCAATCTTAATGATTCTCTGGTGGAAGTTTATAAAAAGAGAAGTGGGGTGACAATCCAAAAGGATGAAGGCATGTTAAAAACTCAAAAGGACCCATGTTTTCAAAGGAGGTGTTCAGAAGCCCCAGGGACAGTAAGAAGCAACATAATTACTATCTTTGTTTCAAATATACATATATTCCAATATATTTATAGATTTTTCACAGTAACATTGGATGATGTGTCCAAAGCTGGTTTGTTAAAATACCCAGGTGTAGTCATGAAAGTAGACACTGAGCTACGCTGCTTAGGTCTTGGAAGATACCTTCCTGTTCTTCACACCTTCCTTTTTTCTGGCTTGGAGGTAGATTAAATACAATGGCGGAGCTGGGCTCATGGGGCACGCCTGTAATTGCCAGCGCTGAGGAGGCCGAGGCAGGAGGACTAAGTTCATGCCCAGCCAGGGTAACTTAGTGAGAAAGTGTCTCAAAATTTTAAAAGAAGTGGTGGGGGTGGGGGTCGCTAGGAATATATCTCAGTGGTACAGCACCCCTGGGCTGGACTCTAAGTACCACAAAACAGACACACACGCAGATGTGGGAAGGCTGGAGGGAGATGTTAGTGAGGCATTGGCTTGACTCTCTCTCATCTGAGTGTGCTGTCCCTGTCCACCAGCACAAGCGACCAGAACCCTGCCGAAGACAAGGCACTGCTGCATCACCCTGCGCTAAAGAGAAAAAAAGGATCTCTGCAAGCAGGGCAGCCGGAGTCTCTAGGACAGGGGACACTCCCATGCGGGGCCTGCCTCACTTCCTCTCCTCCGCCTGCTCTGCTTCCTGCTTTGTCAAGACTGGAGGCGGCTGCAGGGGCCTCGGCAGGTGCCTGATGGGACTGGAGTGCAGAATCTGGAGGAAGCACAGCGCCACCCTCTGGTCCCGATCACAGAATGAATTCTCTTCCACTCCAGAACGCAGTGTAGAGTAATAGAGCGGCCTCCACCACTTCATTCTGCAAAAAAACCCACACATGAACAAAGGTCATTAATTTTAAAAATCAAGATTATTTATAAACATTTATATTTTGTCTGATTTGTTGGTTTGAATATAAAGTCTTAGGTGAAACTGGAATGTTTGTCAGTTCTGAACTGCGAAAATTTAACTTCAACCAGCATACACACATGCACACACGCGCGCGCGCGCGCGCGCGCACACACACACACACACACACACACTGAGTAGTTTTCAAAAGGAAAATAATATTTATTGACTGCTTACTTGTTTTGATATAATTTATGGTAAAGAATATGTTCATGTGGGTTTTGGTTAATTAGAAAATTGTAACATTCAACTCTTTTTTTGTAATCTTATCATAAGAATACTTACAAAATGTCAGTATTTTAACCCATGCAATGTACTGTAAGTTTTTGTTGATGGCGGTGTTTGTGTGGTACCAGGGATAAAAATCCAGGGGCATTCTGTCTTTTGACTACATTTCCAATCATGTTTATTTTTATTTTTATTAAGACGTGGAACTTGCTAGGTTTCCTGGACTGACCTTGAATTTGCAATCCTCCTGCTTCCGCTTTGGGAGTAGCTGGGATCGCAGGCGTGCACCACCGTGCCTTTCCCCCTGACGTGTTCTGACGAGGGAAATGGGGTGCAAGCTGGCTGAGTTAGGTGCAGGTGTTGATGCAGGGCCTCGGAAGACTCCTCACAGAGCCCACCCGGTCTACAGCAGTGCTGTCTAACTTTACAGTTTATTTTTTCCTTAGCACTTTCCCACTGCTCTATCTGCTTAGCGAGGGCAGGAACTGTGTGTCCTCCATGCATGGAAAAAGCCACCGAAGTTGCCAAACCAAACCATCTGTCCTCCGTCTGTTCACCTGCTTGCCATTCCAACTCTGACTCCTTTACTTTCTCCACCTACCATACAGCAAGAGAGATTCTGGGTCCAGGCCCAGGCCCGCACAGCCGGGTTCGCTCTGATCGTGGAAGCCCTGCAGCAAGATCCCCAGCACCAGCTCCTCGCTCATCATGTACTTCATGAACCTGTCGTCTTCCAGGGGAACCCCAAAGTGCAGGTGATAGGTGACCGTGGAGTTTTCACCACTGCGCATCAGAGCAAACAGAGATATTACAATCTATCGACAAAATCCCATTGAAAGCCAGGAAACTAATTTTAGCAAGAACATTTGTTTATTGCACATTTTT